AGGACATGCCTTGTTAAGGTCGGTGTAGTCGATGCACATCCGAAGCTTGCCGTTCGCCTTGGGAACGACCACCGGGTTCGCCAGCCACTCCGGATGGATGACTTCACGGATGAATCCGGCCTCCAGAAGTCTCGCCACCTCCTCGCGGATGAAGGCTTGACGTTCCGGGGCCTGCCGCCGTACTTTCTGCCGGACCGGCCTTGCGCCCGGCCGCACGGCGAGACGGTGCTCAATCACCTCCCTGGGGACCCCGGGCATGTCCGCTGGTCTCCATGCGAAGACGTCAGCGTTTGCCCGCAGGAAGGAGACGAGCGCGCCTTCCTATTTGCCATCCAGAAGACCACCGATCCGTGTGGTCTTGGATGGGCCGTCGCCCAAGGCAACCTCCTTGACCGGGACCTCGTCGCATGTGGCAATCCGCTGCCTCGGGGCGGTGGGGGCGGAGGTGCCAAGCCTCTCGTCACCACCCTCGGGCTTGGTCGCAGCAGCGAGGTGGTCCGCGCGCTGCTCCATGCAAGCGAGCGCGACTTTAAGGTCGCCACGGACAGAGATGGGGCCACCGGGGCCCGGCATCTTCATCTGGAGGTAGGCGTAGTGGACCGCCGCCATAAACTTCACCAACGCAGGCCTCCCCAGGACCGCGTTGTAGGGCAGACTGAGGTCCGCCACATCGAAGTTCACCCGCTCCGTGCGGAAGTTGGCTGATCCACCAAAGGTGACCGGTAGGTCGATGTGACCTAACGGCCATGTGTGCCCCGGCGTTACACCGATGATCGGTTGAGACGGCTGGAGCACCATCCCCGGGGCCTTGATAGCATCAAAGGCCGCGGGGGAAAGGATGTTGAGAGCCGCTCCTCCATCTATGAGGACACGCCCCAACTTCACATTGCAGATGGTGGGGGAAACCACCATCGCAATCTGCCCTCCCCGGGCAACGCACGGTGGGTGGTCGGTCTGGTCAAAGGTGAGGGCCACCTCCGACCACCGCGCCCGACGTGTCGCCTCATGAGTAGGGGCCGCGGCGAGAAGCTCTCGCCTCATGGCCTTGAAACTCCGGCGAGAAACGTGAGCACACGCTCCCCCGTCAACAGTGGCAATGGTGGCCCCAGGTTCTTGGAAACCTAGGTCATCATCACCGTCATCGATGTCAACGGCGGGGGCCTTCTGTTTGGCCTCACTTCGCCGTTTACCGGAGGGAACTGCCGCGGACTTGCCCTCACGGCGTTCCTGCCTCCTGTCCTCCTCCCACTTCCTCGTTCGCTCAGCCAAGTTTTTGACTGCGCGACAATCCGCGAGATCGTGGAGGGAGGTGTTGTGGACGGAGCACCACTTGCTGGCTGGGCGCTCCCTGCTGGGAGTACCAGCCTCTTTCTTTTTGTCGCTCGCAGGCCTCCCATTTCGGGTGGCCCGCGGAACGCCCTCGACGGCGAGGACGTGACCCTCGTCGCCGGAATGGACCGACCTTTTCTTCCTCCTCCTGTCACGCCGCCCTGTCTGAGCGGCGGATCCGGGGGCGGCCGAAGCTGCCACACCGGAACCGGAGGGGTTCCAGGTCCAGGCCTCCTCCTTACGAGCCACTCGGTCCGCGAGCTGAAAAAGCTCTGCGGTAGTCTGGGGCTCTTTGGAGGCAATCTTTTCGAGCATGCGGTTGTGCCGCACGCCCCCCCTGAACGCGTAGATCACCGCGTGTGCAGGGATGCAAGGTATAGTATTGCGGACTTGGCAGAAACGCTGAATGTACGAGCGAAGGGATTCATCATCCCCTCGCTGTACTGCGTGCAAGTCCGCTTCTTCACCTGGGCGTGGATAAGTGCCTTGAAAGTTCATGGTGAACTGCTGGCACAAATCCTCCCAGGAGTGGACCGACGCGGGTGGCAGGTTCATTAGCCAACCCCGCGCCTGTCCCTTCAGGGCCATGGGAAAGAAATTCGCCATGACTCTGTCGTCACCCCCAGCGGCCTCAATCCCGGTCGTATAGACCTGGAGAAACTCGGTGGGGTTGACACTCCCGTCATACTTCTCGGTGATGGTGGGCCGGAACCTTGGGGGCCAACGGACATTCCGAAGACTCGCCACAAAGGCTCTACAGCCGACACCACCAGCCGGGGGCATGGAGGGCTGGTCCTCACGTCCCTGTCGAGGTGACACTCTGGACGAAGAGGCGCCCTCCGTTGCGTGGGGAGTACGCCGGCTATTACGCCGACGCTCGATGTCGAGGCGGGCATCCGGCTCTCCATGCCGATCCTCCCGAGTCGGAGGTGCCGACGAGGGAGTGGCAGCCGAATGGCGTGCAACAGCCGCCGCTCGCCGCGCCCTCCGTCTTGACGACGCGGAACCGGTAGTGGCGGCGCCGGAGGTCTTGGTGGTGGCGGACCGTCCACCAGCACCCAGGCGCTGCTGTGCCGTCATGACCAAGTTGGCCACGTCGTCCAGCCATCGCTGGGCTGGAGATTCCGGGTCAGGGACGACAGGCGGGTGACGTAGGAGCGCGCCAACAGCCTGAAGCGCGCCCTGAGGCGTGCTGCCGTCACCGTAGACGAGGAGGCGACGCTCCCCATCTCGCCGTTCTCCTGCACCACCCGCGACTGGCGATGCTGCGGATTTTTCGACTCTCTCGAGTGCCTCCCCCTGCTTAGGATTTTGGTGTGGAGGAGGTGGGGGAGTACGGGCTCGACGGCGTGGGTTTGGCTCCCCGTCGTCGCCGCTCACACTCGGAGAGAGGTCGTGCACCTTTGCTTGCTCGGCCATTAGGCTGAACAAGAAAAACTTGGCGCACACGGAAGAGTATGAGAGCTCAGAAAACACACGCTGAGCCCCCTACCTGGCGCGCCAGATGACGGAGCTCGTGGCTCCTCACCGGGAGACCGCGCAGGCCCCCCTTTGCCAGTTCGGCCGGGGGCTTAGGGTGAGATCTCAAGCTCTCTCTGTATGTAGAAAGATCGCGTGCCAGGAAGAAACGCGAGACACGGACGATCTATACAGGTTCGGGCCGCTGGGAAGCGTAATACCCTACTCCTGTGTTTTTGGTGGATTTGTGTAAGAGCAAGTTACAAAATATCAACCAGCCCTCTCCTCTCCCGGGAAAATCCAAAATCCCATCCCCCTCTCCTTGTGGGCATGGTCCTCCTTTTATATCTTAAGGGGATACCACATGCACTCTTCCCTTTTCAAACTGGACTTTTCTTCTTTACATAAATGGACGGAGATCTGCACGGTTGCCCTCCGAACGTCCTTCTGATGGGACGGCACATACCTACCTCCACTTCCGCCGGGGGCAGGCGCGTCGTGGGAACGTGGCTGTGCGCTGACGACATGAGCAGTGTCAGACCGGTCACAAATCGGTCATCCTTGTCCACCGCGTGTCAGCTTAGCAACGTGCATGTTTGCCCTTCTTCACATAACATCTTGCCTGTAATGGTTAGGATGAAGCCTGGTATTCATCTAACCAGGGCTAACGTGTCATCTCTAAGAGGTAACACGCTAGCTCCGGCTGGAGACGCGTGCCTAGAGGCTCTCGTCTTGACGGGACGGGGCGTGGCGTGCGTCAGACCGCCAGTCGCCACCTAACCGTTGATCTGACCGGTCTGTGACTGGTCACAGACCGGATAAAAGAGCGCGCTGCATTGCGCTGCATGCAGCGTGACACGCTTGACCAAACCGCAATAAATGCGGTTAGGTGAGCCCTACCGTGTTCACCCAACCTATGTACATAGTGCAAACCCCACAAGGGGTCGGGGCACCTCGGCCCTCGGGGCCGGGGCAGGAGCAACCCGACCCCCCCTCGGGGAAATCAGGAGGAGGGCGGACACCTCACCCTCGGGCCCGACGTCCCCGAAGGTGCCAGGCCACGTGGGCGATTCCATCTGCCTCAAGCCTCCGGGCGCAATACTCCCGGTCCCATATCACCGACATATTCCATGTTAACCGAGCAGACACAATCAATTGTGTGGAGCAATAAGTCCTCCATGTAGTTTTTGGGAATGGACTAGAAAGATAATAATGCAATTTTCACGTAACAAGCGAAAGGTGATTCTTTTAAAAGATCTTTAGTTTCCACGTGTGCCTATATCCAACACCTATTTTATTATTATAGTAGCGTCTACTCCACACATAAATTTACAACTATTCATTATACTATTATACAGATATCTTTTATTCCATATACAAATATATAGCTCTTCATTACTATAGAAATCGTATGCTCCATACACAAATATAAAGGACAAGTGATAGTATCGTTATCAATATCCTTGTATTTAACAACAAAAATAGATTATTCAATCTTACTTCTCTCACTCAGTTACTAACTTTTACAAAGTTGTAATTATTGAACTGCTGCTAATGTTATAAATCAATGATCATACAGAGTCGTGTACTCATGTAAAAAGACACCTGACTTTGTCTCAAGCTTAAAAATTTGAAGTTGTAGCCCATATGTTCATCTATATCTCCTTGAAAAAAATAATTCAGCAATATTATTCCTTATAGACAACAACAATATAAGTTTCACATATAAACAACAATATAAATTTTATAGGTCTATAAGTACTTATCAATTTCTCCCTCGTCAATTCGTTAATCATATTTCTACTAACCTAAGGTCCTATTTGATTCAGCTTAGAATTATTATAATCTGGATTATTAGAAATAAGCTGAAACAAACATATAGCTATTTGATTCAGCTTATGATTATTATAATCTAAATTATTAGAAATAAGTTGAAACAAACAGATAGCTTATTATGATAGATTATTATAATTTATAAGTAAGATTACTATAATATAGTAATACACTTTAAAGATGTTTATTTTAGATTATTGGGTACTACCAGCTAACAAACAGCTTATAAGTGGACACATCCTCTTTCCATCCCCTACTTCTACAGCACGCATCGCGTTTACACGTAGGTAGCCGTCGGATCCAATATTTTATCCCTAATCTTCTTATAGCCTGTATATTCTACATATGTATCTGACCACAAACATTTGTTTTGCACGAAACGTGGCATTAAGAAATGAAGATTTTTTTCTCTCTGGAAAGTCCCAGTAAACAGGACCGACGACGATTAACGCTGGACCCTGAAGAAGAAGGAAGACGTGCCATCGTCGTCACACGCGTACGGCGTACCGGCACCTTCGATGGCGGCCACCAAGCCCCCGAGCTGCTCCACCCGCCTCAGATCTCCGGCCACCACCGCCGCCTGCTTCCTCCCGGCGTCCCTCCTTCTCTTCCTCCTCCTCCTCCTCCTCCGCCGCCCTCCCATGGGCTCCTTCCCTCCCACAATTCCAGGTATAACACTCAATCAATCTCACATCACCTCCCTTTTTTCTTTTCCCAATTCGTCATCTTCTTGCCCCTTCGATTCTACCTCTTGTCGATTTTTGTTTGAGTCAAACAAGTTTGTTCTTTTATTTGTGGATTTTTTTTTATCTGTTATGTTTTTTTTTTTGTTTCACTTCAGGTGGCTCCGTGTCGTCGCGGCGGGCGGAGCTGTACGGGAGGATGGCGAGGGACCTCGACGAGCGCGGCGCGGCGTTCTTGGACGGCGGCGAGACGTCGCAGTCGCTCACGCTGTCGGAGCTCTTCGACACCAGGGACGGCGCCGTCGTGCCCATGCTCAAGGTTATTTTCTGCAAAATAGCTATAGTTATTTGCTCTCCACTGTAGTGATTGGCATTGCTGAAATGTCACAATCTTTTCTTCTTTTTTTTTCTTGTCAGGCTGCCAACCCGCCGGTGCGCGCGAATGTGCTCTACCTGGATCCTGAGTTTGCTTCCGTGATATCGTATGTATTGAAGTTTTATCCGAGCTCCTGTTGTGTGAATTGAATTGTTGCTGAAATCGATTTTAATTTAGCTGTAGTAGCAGGACAGAGCTGGTAGTGTAGTTTTCTTGTTATGTTTTGGGAAGTGAGGACAGAATATTGGTGTATTGATTATTCTTGTGATTGCAGGAAGGCTGTGAAGGAAGTGTTTCTTCCTTATTTTAATCAAGGTGAGGTTTTGCTTACTAGCTCTGCAACATAATATTATTGAATTACATGAGTGACTGCAGTCGTCCTAATCTATGTTCAGTGTATTCAGTTAAACTATCCGCTGGTATTACTCATGTGTCTAAAGAAGAACTATCGGTTCAATTGCTTGCTGCTATAGATTGCTTGGTTAATCTTTCGTATCTAAAGCTGCATCTTTGCTGAAGAACTTGACCATTTCTGTTGCTTCTTCGTTTATCTGAAAGACTGTAACCCAAAGCTGTGCTTTTTAAAAGCCTGAATTTATACCCTTGCTGAATTGTCCAATATTAAAGAAAGCTTGATCATGCATTTGTGATGTGAAGCTGTTCTGTTTCTGAATTGCCTGCTTTTTCTTGATTTCTCGGTTTCTTAACACTTGAAACTGTGCTTGGATTATCATGGTGAGGTTTTATATATCTTGGTTGATCTCTTTTGCCAGCTATCTGGTTCCAAAATATGAGCATCTACCACTTCAGTATGTTTCACACGTCGCATCACCTGGAACCAATTGTAGCAACTGAAGATGAGGTAAAAACATGCCCTGGATGAGTATGATGTTCATGAAAATGCAATACAAGTTTTTACTGATGTATCTGTGTGTAATACTGTTGAGATTGAAGCTGAAGTGGATGCTGTAAAAAGAGTCACCGACGATGTTTGTCCACTTAAAATTATCTTGGATCAAGTGGTTTTGACATCAACTGGAGTGCTTCTTGGCCTGTGGCAGGTGTGGGCCTTTAAAAACACCTTATTCTATTGTACGCTAATTTCAGCGAACATCCTCTAGTATGCAGAGTTTCAGACTGAACTGGTATTTTTCCTTTTTGCTGTTTTTAGGTTGAATCTGGTACTGATCCCGCTGATATCCGCTCAAGATTGAGAGAAGCTCTTCCTCGTGCACCCCAAAAGCAGCTTGTAAGAGCAACTCAAATAAATTATTTGAAATTTCACTTTCTGGACCAAATAGAGAATTCCTTTCTGCACTAAATTTAATGTTCAGAGTCTAGGAAGTTCGAAATTCAGGACCTACTGGCTACTGCAGAATACAATTATTGATTGCTGGTTGTTATTGACCTATCCTACATTTTCTATGAATCTGTTAGTAAGGTGTTCTTTTTCACTTTTGGCAGTATGATCCTGTTATGCTTCACACCTCTTTGGCACGTATTCTGGGACATCCAAAGCTCCCACAAGAGGTAGCCCGCATGGAAATCTGAGTTCTAATTTGTTACTTTTAATATTAATTTCCCTTTTAGACACTAGAAAGTTGTCTTCTCTTTTCATTCAAACTGTTGCCTATCTTGTGCAAGATGCCCATAAAAAGCGGATATAATATCTTGCTGCATTATGCATTACAGTGGATATAATACTTTGAGTTTCAACTGATTATCAACCACTTCAAGAATATTTTGTTTACTGAAAACATACATGGCCAACTACTTTCCAAAAAGCAAGGCAGCCATAAGCTGATGTTTAAACTCAAACAAGATTTATACTTATTGTAAACATGTTTTCTGCATTTACACTTGTTTGGTATCTCAAAAATTGTCTGCTACTCTAGTGTATTATGTTCTTTGTTTTTTAATTATTCATTCTATCTCATGTGGCATTGCTTGGTATGTTTGCTATTCTTTGTTGTAGGGTAATGCACAGTCTCTTGATCATGTCAAGTTCTTCCATGACCTGGTTGCACAGGTTAATTCAAAAATCCGTGGCTTCCAGGTAAGAGTTCCTGATTTGTTTACCAAGCACTATATTTGCAACTACCTTTATGCATGAACTAAATATGTATATGTCAACCGCTATTCAGGCCACGGTAAAAGAGCTATGGTTTGTAGAAGAGTATGATGTACTTGCGCTGGCATTGAACGGAAAGATGAAGGTACGGAGGCTCCAATTCGGTTGCAAAGAAGGTCAAGGCAATGGAAAAATATAGAGAGAATTACCGACGGGAACAGTGCAATATACTTGGAGCACCCAAGGGTAATGTTGTTCGAATGGCTCACCTAAAACATCATCCACGCCGTCATTTGATCTGCCGAGCTATACAATAGATGTGTTGGGCGACTGGGAATGCGACAAAGTGATGACAGATTGCAACACATACTTGTGCAGAAAATCGTATGCAACCATATGTATGTAATTTCTTTCGCTGTGAAGGTATGCCACATTGTGTTGTACCTGTGATGTTCTCTAATTTTTTGTGTCTATTTATGCTCCATTTTCTAGCATATGGAGACAGTGTACCAATAGAAACTCCAAAATTTGCTGTACATTTTTAGGGGAAGAAAGGCCATTCAGGAAGACGAGTCTTCACTTTATATACAGAATTGTTATTCTTCAGGTGTAGGAATACACAAATTTCTCCATACCATTGGGACCTACTACCACGAATTACAGCCTCTTAGGATTTGAACTTTTAGTTGAGATTATGCATTCTCAAATGCAGCATTCACAAAATCTTGAATACGTAAATCCGTGTCAACCTGGACTCACAATGGTAGTTAAAAAACGAACTTTCACAATTGTTGGATCTCAAAAACAACATGACGCCCATGATCTCAATCAGGTTAACAAGACTTGATATGAGAACTGAACTTCTCCTTTGTCTGCGAAATTCCTACATTTCAATGTAGCATCGTAGACATCGGACATGAGGCAGCACCAGCAGGCAGCAGCTGTGCTAAACCTATATAGCAAACACAGAGAAGGTAACAAGCCTAGCTATCATTATGCCAAAGAGTAATATCAACCGAACACCCCCAACATCACATGGTCCTATCTCTGGAGCTGGTAAACACCAGCATGACAACACGGCAGATAAGAATATCTCGAAAAACACATACAAGCGCGGGAAAACTAAAAAGGGCCAACTTGGTGTTAAAAAGAAAATAAATAAAACAAAAAACAATTTACAAGTTGTATTCTTTTATCTATCGTCCAGCGAGCTTCGCAGCCTTCGATGGACCCTCTAGTAGCTTTGGAACCTCTGATGAGGCTTCTAATTTTTTCAAACCATCTTCACAGTAGTTACTAATATCAAAGTTGGTCACAGCATGGGCACCACGAAGCTCGATGGCAGCTAGGTCATAAGCTTCAGCTGCCTCTATCTCCGTTTCTGCAAATTAAGCTCAGTGACTGATTTGCTTCAAACAAGTTCACTTTCCACAATATTTCAAGTCACAAAAGATAAATGAGGACAAATTTAGGTCACTCACCAAAGGTACCAAGATAGATGTCTTTGGTGTCTCTACTTTCTCCAATCCTACCAATCCGTGCTTGCCATCTACCATCCTTTCGCCTGTTTAGTCCAAGGGATTAAGTTGCAAAATTGAAATAGAATATTCAGAATACTTTGTTTAACATGATTCACAAATCGTTTTCTTTCAACTGGAGCAAAAGGGATAAGTAAATAATGATTTAATTCATTTGACCAGATAATTATGGGCTTATTCTAGCAATGCAGAGAATAGCACCTTGTTACACCCCTATATGATGAAGTTCCTCTTGAGAAACAGCTGCTCTGCCTGTAATAAACACGCAGAACAGTTAAAAGTTAAAACAATCATAACACAACGGTGTCATATAGTAATCACTCAAATTTATCACTGACCTTCTTATGTACACCACAAATTCATCTTGGGACATGGTCTTCATCCTCTCGATTTCTTTCTCATAATCAGAAACCTGGTATAGAAATAAAAGCTCTTAATGCCAAAAAATAACAGGTCCCAGAATATCACAAAGAAACAGACAGTTCTTACATTGAAGTTAAGTTTGGTGTTTGGCCCTGCACCCCAATATTTAAGGGCTGCAAGGTCATGTGCCCTTGCAGCATTCTCTTCAGTAACATAGCTTCCTGTAATGCCAAATATGAAGTTAATTAAATTATAAGTAAGCTAAATTTATGCTTCAAATGAATTCATTCTGCAATTACCACTTGCCTAGGTACACTGAATCACCAGTAGCCAAAGGTGCCAGATTCCCCATGCACAAAATCCAAAGAAGAATCAGGTAAGAAAGAAATTATGAAGGGAAAGTGAAGCATAAGGAAGTGATAGTCTTTCATAGCAATGACTATCTCTGTATTGTTCCCTTATCCTTGACCTATTCTCACCATGGTCATTTAACAAATTCAATGCCCAGAGCTTATAGGATGAGCCATGGTCATCTAACAAATTCAATGCCCAGAGCTTGGAGGAAGAAGCTAATGATTGAATGTAGCTGTCCAATGCTATCCCTACCTCCTAAGAAGAAAAACAGATATACTTCCTTACATAAATAATTAATCAACAATCCTCTAAATCCAAGGGCTACATGCTCCTTACTTTCCATATCGAAATACACATTTCACAAATTCAAGCATCACATTAATCCTTAAAGTAAATTAAAATTACGAAACCACATTTTACAAGTCGCTTCATTGAATTCAACTATTAAATATATCCATATGTGCACCCTGCAACAAATAAATTGCATACGGCTATCAACAACCACCTGTTGTCAAGCCTCTAGCTAAAAATCTGTGATGATACGAAATGTAATTGGAATAACTCACAGCTGTTTCGCATAGCTACCAAGCGAGCGTGTACCATCTCGGCACTTTCCAAACTAAACTAAACTAAACTAAACCAGTGCTAATTTCATGGCTACACAGTGACACCAACAAGGATGAGAGATTTTGCTTGCAGTGAGCTTAGCTAGGATCATCAGGCGTGCACCATCTCGGCACTTTCCAAACTAAACTAAACTAAACCAGAGCTAATTTCAATGGCTACATAGTGATACCAACAAGGATGAGAGATCTTGCTTGCAGCGAGCTTAGCTAGGATCATCAGGCGCATCACATACCATGCTTCCCCTTGCGCTTGCGGCCCTCGACCTGGCTGCTGTTGTCCCAGAGGTGCGCCTCGAACTTGCCGCTCCACTTCAACCTGCAGCCAATCCAAAAATTCCAAACCCAATCAAGCCAAAAAACAGAAAAAAAATTGAGGGAGCTAGGATTCCGAAGAGAGAGCTCCCAAAACCTCGTGACGCCGTGGTACCGCGACGACCGCGGCGCGGCGTACTTGCGCATGGTCTCCGCCACCAGCTTCCCTCCTCCTCCTCCTCCTCCTCCCTCCGCCGCCGCAGCCGCTTTCCCATCATCCCCGCCGCCGTCCGCGACGGCCAGCTGCTCGTCGAGCGCCGCGATCTCCTCGCCCCCCGCCGCGGCCGGCTGCTCCTCCGTCTCCGGAGGAGGAGGAGGCGCGGGGTCCGAGGCGGCGGGTTGCACGGTGGCCATCGCCGCGAGGTGAATCTTCTTCTTCTTGGATTTCTCCTCGGCGAAATCTTCGAGAGCTCGTCGCGGCGCAAACCCTAGAAGACGGAGCTTGGAGAGGACTCGGATGCGACGAGCTGCATGGGCCTAATTTGGATCAGCCCACACGGGCCCGCACGTTCGCGAGAGCTCTGGGCCAACCTTGTGGGCTCCATCTCCATATGGGCCGTGTATTGGGCCTAGTTTGGGAGAAAAGGCCTAGGGTTTGGGGGCTCCTTGTGTGCGCCGTCGTGGGAGCTTTCGTCGCCGGCGAGAGTCCTTCCTCCCGCATTTCATCGCCTCAACGCCGGTCGGCGAGATCTGAGTCTGAGGTAAGGCCATCTCACCCCCTGCAGCTTCATTCTTTGACCCTTTTTTCAGTATTTTTGTTCTTCCCTTTTTTGGTTTTTAGATCCTGTTTGGTTGAAGGGAGTTTTTAGGAGGGATTGGGAGTTTAGAGGGATGAGGCTATTAACTGTTTTGTTTGGTTGGGAGATGAGAATTTTGGTGGGATGGGGATGGGGAATTGAGGAATGAACTTCTTCCTTTTTAATACCTGGGTAGGGGCAGGTAATTGGGAGGGAATTCCTCCTTTACTTCGCCTAAACAAATCTCAGCCATTCGTTTTCATTAATGACCTAATCTCTAACTAAACTCCCTCTTAATTTCCACCACCTCTACCAAACAAGAGACTGGCATGAAAAATCAAATTCCTATCTTAATCTCACTATCAATTCCCTCGTGTAAACTCCCAATCCCCTTCTTATATGTCTGATTTAGGTGGAGTAATGCATGTTAATTGTCCAGATCTGATAGAGAAAATGATGTTGTTTTAGTTGGGTGGTTTGGTCTCCTGTGGATGTTTTTCTTGCTTCATGTTTGTTCAGTAGGAGTATATTATTATGTGATTATATATTTTGCAAGATCTTGTTCTTTTTCAAGTTTGTAGGTCTGAGTATGTGTTGGATCTGTCGTCTCTTGTGGTTGGATGTATGGTATATGTTTGTGCTTGTTGCATTCCATGTTTTGATGCATTATAAATTTGCAATTCGGATCCTCTGCATTAGAGGTACTAATGCAGAGGATGAACAGTACCACGCATTAGAATCACTGTGGACCGTCGGATCAAGAGTGAAAGGACCAGATTTTTGAATCCACGCCGAGGTCGTGGCGGCCGTTGCCGACGAACACGCGCGGGAGCGGTGGTGGCCCGGCGAAGCCGTCGCCGAGGAGGCCGCGGAGCTCCGCCCGGAAGGCGGCGTGCATGGACACGTCGCGCTCGTCGACGCGCACGCGGTGGCCGCGCAGGATGGCGCGCACGGCGCGGCCGTCCTCGAACGTCCGGCGGACGCCGCGGAGGCTGGTGAAGTACACCACCACCACGGCGGATGCCTTCGTCACGCGCTCCGGCCGCCGCGGGGGCGGCGGCGCGACGTCGAGGGCTTCTTCATCGGCCGCCTTGGCCGCCTTCTTCTTCTTCTCTATCTTCTCGTGGAACTCGTCGACGCGCGCGCGCACGAAGCCCGTCACCTCCGGGATGTCGCGAGCCGCCGGTGTGCCCATGTCGTCGAACGCCGCCGCCGCCGCCGCCGCCTCCTCCTCGCTCGCCTTCGGCGTCGTCGGATTCTCCCGCTCCGGCGACCGCGAGGGCTCCGCCGCCACGATGCCCCGGAGGCCGGACATGATTCCCTGGTCAAAACCAGGTAAAGCCCGCACCTCTGCCTCCTTCGCCGCCGCCGGCGGCGAGGACGCGTTGAAAGACGCGCACCGTCGCGCCGGCGCGGCGTCCTCGAGGGCAGCCTTGAGCCCACGCTTAGCATCCTCTTCTCCGGGGAGCGCGCGGAAGTCGAAGTCGACGGAGACATGGGCGCCCTTCGCCGGCGGCTCTTCCAGCGGCAGGCTGGAGTACGCGTGCACGGCGTCGTCGCGGCGGCCGCGGCAGAAGGCGAGGGAGGTGAGAACCAAGGCGGTGCGCGACGGCCGCAGGCTATGCCGCCGGCTCTCCGCCGCCGGAGCCGCCACCGCCGGTGGCTTCGCCGCGCCGCCGCGCACGTCCCTCGAGCTCGAGCAACCCATCGCCGGAGTCGGAGAAGAAGATGATGCACGTGCGCATGCGCTTGCCACGTGCGCACGCGTGGTTGGCTATTATATAGAGCTTGGAAGCCATTGGATGTGGAGCGCTTGGTATTTAAATATATTTTTTTGTGAAATGAAACTGAAATTGAAATGGAATAAAAGACAAATATGGAAAATGAGCTGGTAAATATTATGGAGTTGGGTGAATGGGTTCAGTTTTAATTGCTCAATTAGTCACTAGCAAATGGATAAGTGTAGTAGTGTCTATCTATACAGTGGTACGGGATGACGTGGAAAATTTTGAGAAAAAAAACAATTTATAATTTGATGACTATGAGTTTTTCAGGAGCGGGAAAAATAAGATGTCAAATTGCTTACAGAAAGTAAATTAGTATGGCTTTATGTATATAGCTACAGTATTAAAACTCACATTTAAAGCTTTTAATGGTAATAAAGATAACTATGCGCAGCAAGAGTCTGTATGAGGAGAATTTCATGATATATTTTTGCATGATTCCATTGTAGAGAAATGAAAAGAACTGCATGTTGTTTAGCGAAGTTATTAAATGTTAGTGAGAGTATTTACTACACAAAGTGAATAAAACTTGTAAAAAACACTCTAAAATTTGATCTGTTCTAAACCACTGAAATAAAATGTTCTGTAAACAAACTAAAAACCTTGACCAAAACAATGGGGGAAAACATTTTTTGAAAGAAAAATAACAAGGAAAAAAATTAAAATAGAATAAAAGGCAGATATAGAAAATGAACTGTCAATAACATGGAATGGATATGTATTGGTTCATGTTTATTTGCTCAATTACTACTACAACGTCCAAAAAAATGAATTTCTAGCTACGAATCTGGACACATAGGATTGGTCTTTTGTTGGGACGGAGGGGGTAAGTGGCATTTAAGAACAATTAAATTCCCACGTAGGTGTGGTGAGAGGGGATGTGATGGAAATTTATGAAGAAATTAATTTATGATTAGATGACTATGAGTTATTTGGAAGGATTAGGGATGGCAATTTTGCCTATGGGTTTGGATATCCACGAATACCTAGCCCGATGGGTACGGGCGCGGGTGCAATTTTTTACATGTGGGTACGTTTGCTCAAGACCTGAAGATGTAGTGGGCAGCAACCGGGTTTTATTTGTTGTCCATGGGTAAATCAGAAAAATATGTAGTGCGAACCATATATGTAGTGAAAAACTTAGAAACTACTGTTGGATCTAAAATCCACGTCAACCAGAGTAAAAATTTTACTCCCAGATTTAACCATGAGTAAAAAGTTTACTAGGAGTAAAATTTTTACTCTTAGTGACGTAGACAAATCTCAAGCGTCCATTTTTAAATGCAACGATAGCTTGCAGGTTTCCACTTCATATGCACATATTTTCCTGGTAACTCGTGCCTGATGCAATACATATGTATTAGCTGATTTTGGGCATCTCTTAATTCTCACGCCCCTTCCCCTTGACCAATTTGTGATGCTAGTTGGTGATAACTTGTGATGCAATTTAAATTAACGTTGCTAATTGATAATTTGGCAAATTATTGATTTTATTTTTCTTTGTTAAATTACCTATCTATTGAGATATTATTCATATGAGACCCACCGGGAACCCATCGGACATGCCTGTGCATATCAAGTATGGGTACATGCACGGAGTTTTGCCCGCTAACCCTGGTGGGCAGGTTTGAGTGGGTGATGTCGGGCATTGGATCGGGCATGGTTTTGCCATCTCTTCTTAGGATGGGGAATTCATGAGAAATAATTGGTTAATTTTGTCTTAGAAAATAAAATCTCAAGTAGTTAACTAGCAAGCTAGAAAGACCTTCTGCAAGTAGTGCTTAAACTTTACAACAGCATGCTCTGATTTAAATATTTAAGGAAAATGTAGATGATTATATATGCAGCAAAAAATTGTATATATATGAGGATATTTGTATGAGAAAAATATTGCATGAGTTCTTTGTAGAAAATAAAAAAAAATCCGTCAAGAGGGAGGTTGGACATTTGAGGTTACATGGCTAGGCCACATGATCTCAAGCGACGATGAACTCATATTTGATATAAAATATTTTTCAGTCTCAATTATAACCAAATGAAATTATAGTTTTTAAGGTACATAGCTAACGTAGCGAGGTTTATATGGCATATCTTTAAGAGAAATATGGGATATATATGTATTCTTAGTATTAAAATTGTATTACTCATTTGAAAAAAATAAACGGATGGATATTTAAGTTAGAGTGCTACAAAATCTCTTCCACTATCTTGCATACTCCTTTGATTTGCAAAGGTGATTTTCAGTTAGTTTCTAACCTTTTCTGGATACATTTTGAAATTCACACTGACGGAGCCCGTGGCTCCTCACCGGGAGACCGCGCAGGCCCCCCTTTGCCAGTTCGGCCGGGGGCTTAGGGTGAGATCTCAAGCTCTCGCTGTGTGTGGAAAGATCGCTCGCCCGGAAGAAACACGAGACACGGCGATGTATACAGGTTCGGGCCGCCGCGAAGCGTAATACCCTACTCCTGTGTTTTTGTGGATTTGTGTATGAATGAGCTACAAAGTGTCTGCCCACTTCTCCCCCGCTCTAGGCTCTAAATCTGGCAAGAATCAACCAATCCCTTCTCTATGGGCAAGGTCCTCCTTTTATATTTCAAGGGGATACCACATGCCCCCTTCCCTTTCCAAACTGGACTTTTCTTCTTTTCATAAATGGACGGAGATTTGCACGGTCGTCCTCCGATGGGACGGCACATACCTACCTCCACTTCTGCCTGAGGCGGGCACGTCGTGGGAAGGTGGCTGTGTGCTGACGACATGAGCAGTGTCAGACCGGTCACAAATCGGTCATTCTTGTCCTCCACACGTCGGCTCAGCAACGTGCATGTTTGCCCTTCTTCAAACAACATCTTGCTTGTAATGGTTAGGATGAAGCCTGGCATATATCGATCGGGGCTAACGTGTCATCTCTGGGATGTAACACGCTAGCTCCAGCCGGGGACGAGTGCCTAGAAGCTCTCGTCTAGACAGGATGGGGCGAAGCATGCGTCTGACCGCCTGTCGCCACCTAACCCGCGATTTGACCGGTCTGTGACTGGTCACAGACCGGATAATCGAGAGCACTGCACTGCACTTCGTGCGGCGTGACACGCTTAGCCGAGGCGCAATAAATGCGGTTAGGTGAGCCCTGCTGTGCTCACCTAACCCATACACGTGGAGTACAAAACGCGAGGGGTCGGGGCGCCTCGGCCCTCGGGGGCGAGGCTGGAGTCACCCGACCCCTCCCTCGGGGAAATCAGGAGGAGGGCGGTCACCTCACCCTCGGGCCCGACGTCCCCGAAGGTGCCAGGCCACGTGGGCGGTTGTGTCTGCCTCAAGCCTCTAGTCACGATACTCCCGGTCCCATATCACCGACAGTAGCCCCCGGCGTTATGTCAAGGCGATCATCCTTCTCAAGGGAAGCGGTCGGGCATGACGCCACTCATAAAGCATGGTGACAGGTGGGACCGGTCTCCGTGATTGGGCAGAAACCCAACGGTCTCAAACCACGCATATTGGTAACGGTGTCTTAGCCGTCAGTTATGGGCGGTCTCTTCAAGACTGCCACATTACTTGAGCGACGTACGAATCTGGGTGAGCCGATTTGCTTCGCCTGGAGATATGGTGATGGTGCTTTTCTCGGAGCCATCAGAATAGCGTATAGCATCTTCTGGGCCTGAGGGTATCGGGTTTTGGCGTCCCGGAGGGCCTGAGGGTATCGGGTTTTGGCGTCCCGGAGGGCCTCGCTAACAAAGTAGACGGGCCGCTGCGCCTTTCGGCGGGGCCGATCTTCTTCGCTAGGGGCCGCATCTCCAGGGCGCTCTTCATCCGAGAGGCAGCGCGGGGCGCACTCGGCTTCTGTGCCGACGACCTCGGGGTTAGAGGGCGACAGGCGCGGCCTTCCCGCAGTGGCCTCGGGGCCATCCTGGGGGTCGGGGGCGCCTGGCACCGTCGGACAAGCAAGCGGAGGGCCAGCTCCGGCCGTCGGGGGCCTTGGGCCGCCGTTCGGCTCGGGGGCCTTTCCTCCCTGCTCTCTCTCTCTCTTCGGGCAGAATCCTCGGCTCGCGTTCGCCCTCAACTCCGACGAGGAGGGCGATGCCAGCGGAGTGGGCGATAGTGGCGACGAGGCCGGCGACCCGGGTGCATCGGAGTGAGCCCCCAGGCCTCCGCCAATCTTAATAGCTTTTCCTTCTTCTTCCGAGGCCTTCGGGCCCCTTTTTTGTATAGATCAACTTAATCTGCAATCAAAAATGATGAAAAAATTCTTTGTGTCAATTTTATTTTACTATGCGTATGAGACGAGGATGGTCTGTGCCATGGTCCTTCTGTGTCTTGGCTTGAACAAGGGCTCGTGCCCAGGTCCCAGCCTCAAACGGCGCGGGTCAAGGCTAGTGCCTGGGGAGATCCACATGTCGAGACTGGCCAGGCCGGGAGCGTGGTGACCGAGGGTTATGGGTGACCCGATTGTGGGTTTTTGCCGATTCCCCCCCGGAGTTCACCACGCCCCGGGGCACGGCTCGGTTCTGGGCCCCGTTTGGCGATTTTAGCCGACCCGAGCCCCCGAGGGCAGGATTGAACACGAGTGACCTATTTCAAGTCAAGATTCTTCAAAAGGAAACAAAAGCACAGACACAGCCTTTAGGAAATCGAAAATGCTTTTATTGAAATACGGAAGAGAAAAAAGATAAGCCCCCGGCCAACCCTGCACGCCCCGGGGGGGGGCGCGGGGTTGGCCCGAGCCCGAAACCTGACACCCGACCCCCACTAGGGGTAGAAGCGACGAAGGTGTTCGATGTTCCACAGGTTAGGCAGCTCTGTGCCGTCGCCCGTGGCCAGCCGAACGGAGCCCGGCCGGGGGACGCCGATCACTCGATACGGACCCTCCCACACTGGTGAGAGTTTGCTCAGTCCAGCACGCGTTTGGACGCGGCGTAGGACGAGGTCGTCGACGCAGAGTGATCGGGCCCGGACGTGGCGCTGATGGTAGCGCCGCAGGCTCTGCTGGTAGCGCGCGGCTCGAAGGGCCGCGCGCCGCCTTCGCTCTTCCAAGTAGCCGAGGTCAGGGAGCGTCGGCCTCTTTCTTTTTGTCGCTCGCAGGCCTCCCCTTTCGGGTGGCCCGCGGAGCGCCCTCGACGGCGAGGA